TATTTTCGTATGGTATTTATGGTTGTATTCTCGTTTTCTTGTCTCATTTGATAGAATTGGAGATATATTACAGAAACAGGGATGATTTTGACTGATTTCATGATGAAAAGTACCTTGAAATTGAGCTCGGAGTAGCGGAAATGTTCGATTTCTGCTGATGTTCAAGAGCAAACAAATCACACCATGCGTCCAATACACGTCAACTGGTGAGTCTAATATTCTTTCACAATTTTTTATTTTTATTATCACACCGGCCGATTCCCACCAAGGCAGGGTGGCCCGAAAAAGAAAAACTTTCACCATCATTCACTCCATCACTGTCTTGCCAGAAGGGTGCTTTACACTACAGTTTTTAAACTGCAACATTAACACCCCTCCTTCAGAGTGCAGGCACTGTACTTCCCATCTCCAGGACTCAAGTCCGGCCTGCCGGTTTCCCTGAATCCCTTCATAAATGTTACTTTGCTCACACTCCAACAGCACGTCAAGTATTAAAAACCATTTGTCTCCATTCACTCCTATCAAACACGCTCACGCATGCCTGCTGGAAGTCCAAGCCCCTCGCACACAAAAACCTCCTTTACCCCCCCTCCCTCCATACCCTTCCTAGGCCGACCCCTACCCCGCCTTCCTTCCACTACAGACTGATACACTCTTGAAGTCATTCTGTTTCGCTCCATTCTCTCTACATGTCCGAACCACCTCAACAACCCTTCCTCAGCCCTCTGGACAACAGTTTTGGTAATCCCGCACCTCCTCCTAACTTCCAAACTACGAATTCTCTGCATTATATTCACACCACACATTGCCCTCAGACATGACATCTCCACTGCCTCCAGCCTTCTCCTCGCTGCAACATTCATCACCCACGCTTCACACCCATATAGAGCGTTGGTAAAACTATACTCTCATACATTCCCCTCTTTGCCTCCAAGGACAAAGTTCTTTGTCTCCACAGACTCCTAAGTGCACCACTCACTCTTTTTCCCTCATCAATTCTATGATTCCACCTCATCTTTCATAGACCCATCTGCTGACAACGTCCACTCCCAAATATCTGAATACGTCACCTCCTCCATACTCTCTCCCTCCAATCTGATATTCAATCTTTCATCACCTAATCTTTTTGTTATCCTCATAACCTTACTCTTTCCTGTATTCACCTTTAATTTTCTTCTTTTGCACACCCTACCAAATTCATCCACCAATCTCTGCAACTTCTCTTCAGAATCTCCCAAGAGCACAGTGTCATCAGCAAAGAGCAGCTGTGACAACTCCCACTTTGTGTGTGATTCTTTATCTTTTAACTCCACGCCTCTTGCCAAGACCCTCGCATTTACTTCTCTTACAACCCATCTATAAATATATTAAACAACCACGGTGACATCACACATCCTTGTCTAAGGCCTACTTTTACTGGAAAAAATTTCCCTCTTTCCTACATACTCTAACTTGAGCCTCACTATCCTCGTAAAAACTCTTCGCTGCTTTCAGTAACCTACCTCCTACACCATACACTTGCAACATCTGCCACATTGCCCCCCTATCCACCCTGTCATACGCCTTTTCCAAATCCATAAATGCCACAAAGACCTCTTTAGCCTTATCTAAATACTGTTCACTTATATGTTTCACTGTAAACACCTGGTCCACACACCCCCTACCTTTCCTAAAGCCTCCTTGTTCATCTGCTATCCTATTCTCCGTCTTACTCTTAATTCTTTCAATTATAACTCTACCATACACTTTACCAGGTACACTCAACAGACTTATCCCCCTATAATTTTTGCACTCTCTTTTATCCCCTTTGCCTTTATACAAAGGAACTATGCATGCTCTCTTGCCAATCCCTAGGTACCTTACCTTCTTCCATACATTTATTAAATAATTGCACCAACCACTCCAAAACTATATCCCCCACCTGCTTTTAACATTTCTATCTTTTATCCCATCAATCCCGGCTGCCTTACCCCCTTTCATTTTACCTACTGCCTCACGAACTTCCCCCACACTCACAACTGGCTCTTCCTCACTCCTACAAGATGTTATTCCTCCTTGCCCTATACACGAAATCACAGCTTCCCTATCTTCATCAACATTTAACAATTCCTCAAAATATTCCTTCCATCTTCCCAATACCTCTAACTCTCCATTTAATAACTCTCCTCTCCTATTTTTAACTGACAAATCCATTTGTTCTCTAGGCTTTCTCTTAACTTGTTAATCTCACTCCAAAACTTTTTCTTATTTTCAACAAAATTTGTTGATAACATCTCACCCACTCTCTCATTTGCTCTCTTTTACATTGCTTCACCACTCTCTTAACTTCTCTCTTTTTCTCCATATACTCTTCCCTCCTTGCATCACTTCTACTTTGTAAAAACTTCTCATATGCTAACTTTTTTCTCCCTTACTACTCTCTTTACATCATCATTCCTCACCAATCGCTCCTCTTCCCTCCTGCACCCACTTTCCTGTAACCACAAACTTCTGCTGAACACTCTAACACTACATTTTTAAACCTACCCCATACCTCTTCGACCCCATTGCCTATGCTCTCATTAGCCCATCTATCCTCCAATAGCTGTTTATATCTTACCCTAACTGCCTCCTCTTTTAGTTTATAAACCTTCACCTCTCTCCCTGATGCTTCTATTCTCCTTGTATCCCATCTACCTTTTACTCTCAGTGTAGCTACAACTAAGGGAAAGTGATCTGATATATCTGTGGCCCCTCTATAAACATGTACAATCCTGAAGTCTACTCACAGTCTTTTATCTACCAATACATAATCCAACAAACTACTGTCATTTCGCCCTAACATCATATCGTGTATACTTATTTATCCTCTTTTTCTTAAAATATGTATTACCTATAACTAAACCCCTTTTCTATACAAAGTTCAATCAAAGGGCTGCTCCATTATCATTTAACCTGGCACCCCAAACTTACCTACCACACCCTCTCTAAAAGTTTCTCCTACTTTAGCATTCAAGTCCCTACCACAATTACTCTCTCACTTGGTTCAAAGGCTCCTATACATTCACTTAACATCTCCCAAAATCTCTCTCTCTCTCCTCTGCATTCCTCTCTCTCCAGGTGCATACACGCTTATTATGACCCACTTCTCGCATCCAACCTTTACTTTAATCCACATAATTCTTGAATTTACACATTCATATTCTCTTTTCTCCTTCCATAACTGATCATTTAACATTACTGCTACCCCTTCCTTTGCTCTAACTCTCTCAGATACTCCAGATTTAATCCCATTTATTTCCCCCCACTGAAACTCTCCTACCCCTTCAGCTTTGTTTCGCTTAGGGCCAGGACATCCAACTTCTTTTCATTCATAACATCAGCAATCATCTGTTTCTTGTCATCCCACTACATCCACGCACATTTAAGCAACCCAGTTTTATAAAGTTTTTCTTCTTCTCTTTTTAGTAATTGTATACAGGAGAAGGGGTTACTACCCCATTGCTCCGCATTTTAGTCGCCTCATACGACACGCATGGCTTACGGAGGAAAGATTCTTTCCACTTCCCCATGGACAATAGAAGAAATAAAAAAGAACAAGAGCTATTTAGAAAAAGGAGAAAAACCTAGATGTATGTATATATATATATGCATGTGCGTGTCTGTGAAGTGTGACCAAAGTGTAAGTAGGAGTAGCAAGATATCCCTGTTATCTTAGCGTGTTTATGAGACAGAAAAAGAAACCAGCAATCCTACCATCATGCAAACAGTTACAGGTTTTTGTTTCACAGTCATCTGGCAGGACGGTAGTACTTCCCTGGGTGGTTGCTGTCTACCAACCTACTACCTATTCTTTCACAAGTGTACTGATATTATTTATATCATTTTTACAATAATGCAGTAGTCTGTATAACAGTATATCTTCTATTTTTTGAGAGAATAAAAATTCAAAATGGAAAGCAAGAAATATAGGAGGGGCCTGGAGATGTGACTAATGAGCAGAGAAAATGTTATTTTAGTGCCAAGAATGTCTGTCTTGTTTATTCTGGACCTTATTTTGAAATTGGCATCTTTTGAAATTCGAGTGAAATTGGCCAAAATGCCAATTTTTGACCACTTCATTGGGTAGTTGAAATCGGTAAATGGGCTGTTACTCGTACTCGTTCGAGAGAACAAATGGAGCTCTAGCAAAATAGCTATGATGTTCGAATGGAACATTGGAATTGGCCGAAAACAGGGCTCAAAATGGGCGAAATCACCGATGCGCAGGTATCGTTGAGACTGCTAACTTTGCGAGAGCATAATTCCCTAAGTTTTCCATCAAATTTCGTACTTTTGGTGTCATTACCAATGGGGAAAAATTCTCTTATCATTTCATAAGAATTTTTTTTTTTTTTTTTAATTTTTCGACCCTGAGAGCGAGTTCAGGATCTCGACACCCTGAAAGGGTTAAACCAAAAACATGGTAACAGTTTTTTTTCCCCATTCTGCACTGCATGCTGCAGGAATTTATTTTAAATGATGCACACTTACTGCACAGACCTATTCAATCATCTCTAGGCCCAAATTTACCACTCACAGCTTATATGAGTAAGCCGAGCTCATAGCACAGAACTACGGGACTGACCCATGCCGTAGTACTACGGGACCAATCCTCAATAAATATTATGTATAAAAACTTATGTTTAAGGAACAGCTAGCCCCCAGGGTTCTCCACACTGTGCCCTACACAGTGCCTAGATGCCCACATAATCTTCATTATACACCACTTGCACCATCATTACAAATATATTGTTAAAATTTTAGACATATATTTTAAGGTTTTTAGTGATTTAAATCTAACATCAAAGGACAAGCAATGAATATAAGACTATGAAGCATTTTCAAATTAATAAACAAAATGCCTGATTATAAGAAGATGTATAACAGAGAACAATTGATGAGCATACCTACAATGTGAAAAAATAAATAACTCAAATGACCCATCATTTTTTTGGTTGAAGGATATGCACCATACTCACTCTGAGAGTCACTTGCTGCATTATGTCGCTTAAGTGTTTCACGCACGTGTTTCTTTGCTCCGAGTACTTGATTGTATTTCTGAAGCTTCCGCTCCTTCCGACGCAATTCACGTTTCATTTCTGCAAGCTTTGCTGCAAGCTGAGAGTGAATATTTAGGAATATTAAATAATTCATAATGAATTACAAACAATAAAATTTTACGCTAAAGTAGTTTATTAAGGAGTTATGCATAAACAAACATGCCTCTTAAGTGGGAACCAAATGTGCTACCAACTTCCCTTCAAGCAAGTGTAAAGAGTGAAATGAATTTTTGTATTTTATCGGAAATAAGTGGACAGTGACGGACATAATTACAGACCCCCCATACCACGAGATAATGTACCGTCAGCAGGATGCCAGAGCAAATGGAGATGTTGTCTTAAATATGGTGTGGGTACTTATTATAACTGTTAATACAGTAGACTGTCGTTTAACACGATTTTGTCTTGCACGTTTCTGTTATAGCACAATTGAAGAATTGCGGCATATTTTTGTTTAACACTTCGTAAAGTTAGTTTAACACGGTTGTGTGGGGGGAAAAAATTTTAAGAACGCAGTTGCCCGCTAGGTGGGATGGTCTGTGGGTTAGTGAGTTACACCAATGTTTCAACGGGGGAGACCTATCGCCATCCCCCGCCTCCCTCAGCCACCCACACCACCCTCATCATCAAGTGTTTAATGCTGACGAGACAAGTGTTTTGTGGAAAAAAATGCCAACACTAACTTATATCAGTCAGCAAGAGAAAAGTGCACCAGGCTTCAAGACAGCAAAGGATCACTTCACCTTGCTTTTTTGGAAGGTGTACATAAAAACACCTTACCAGTAATTTAGAGGTCAAACCAGTCAGCATGGATGACTGAGGAAATATTTAATGACTGGTTTAAGCATCACTTTATTCCTGAAATCAAGTGTTACCTGCCCAGCAAGAATCTTGCATTCAAGGCTCTTTTCATTCTTGATAATTCCATACTCATCCACAAGCTCTGCTGGATGTGACCCCACATGTAAAAGTTGTATTTTTACCTCCAAATACATCTCTAATACAACTACTGGATCAGGGAGTTATTAAGTCATTTGAGTGTAACTACAAAAAAAAGCTGTGAAAAAACTAGTTATAAAAAACCATGCAAACTAGTTGCATGGAATGAAGTGCTCCAATCAACATTAAATGCAGGCTGGGGAAAGTTATGGCGTTCTGTGGTTAATTCTTTCACTGGTTTTCCCTTGCTTGAGAATCAGGTTCAGGAAATTGTTCAGCTGGCAAGGAGATTACCAGGTGACAGTTTTGAAGATATGAATGAAGATGTGAATGAGCTCTTAGAAGATAATGATGATGAAGACAGGAGTCCAGAGGAAATGTTGGCAGAGCTCGATGCACAGATACAAGGGAGAGAGATAACAGAAGATGAAGAAGAACCTGGAGAAAAACAGTTAACACTGCAGCAGTTTCGTGAGCAGTTCCATGCTGCTGCTAAACTAGCAAACTTTTTCACTGAAGAGGACCATGACAAATCTAGAAGCATTGCTCTGAAATGGGTCTAGACCAGCTGAGATTCTCACCATCAGCGATAATGTACGCAGGTAAAAGAAAACCAGAGATCATTAAGAAATTATGCAAAAACTCAATAAACCATCGACTTCAGTACCAGAACCTTACCATCACTTCTGTTGACAACAACAACCATCCACCACACATAAGCCACACCACAATATCGACTCCCAAATCATCCACACCAAACCCGCAACCACAATTAAGGTTTGAAATACGTGGGCCTTAACCAGCGATGGCATCGATTACGATAAATCTGACTAGCGATAACATTTTAACGCAAAAATTTTGCCTCAACTACACTTAAAAACCCGACCAGCGCTATTCATTTCCGTACCATACGCTTCCACTTTGGCCTGAGCGCGCCTCACTTGTCCCTTGGGTGCCCGGTTTACAAGCCAGCCAGCCACTGCGGTCGCTTCCAAACATACAACAACTGGAACATTTCATATTATCACAGCCTTTGTAGTGATTGCACCTGCAAAATAAGTCACCATGGGGCCCCAAGAAAGCTTCTAGTGCCAACCCCACAGCAAAAGGGTGAGAATTACTATGGAGATGAAGAAAGAGATCATTGCAAAGTATGAAACTGGAGTGCGTGTCTCTGAGCTGGTTTAGGTTGAAAAAAAAACCCCAATCAACCATCGCACTATTTTGGGTAAGAAAATGGCAATCAAGGAAGCTGTTCTTGCCAAAGGTTCAGCTGCTGCTGCACCACAGTCAGCTGTTGTTTGTTGCTGCACCACCATCAGCTGTATTACTCGAAGATGTGGAGTGTGTTTGTTGGTTGGCTTAAAGTGAAACAATTACCGAGAAACATTAACCCCGGAGGGTTAGCCACCCCGGATAACCCAAGAAAGTCAGTGCACATCGAGGACTGTCTAACTTATTTCCATTGGGGGTCCTTAATCTTTTCCCCCAGGGTGCGACCCACAACAGTTGACTAACACCCGGTGAACAGGAAAAAATGCCTGGAACTAGTGCTCATATTGGGGAGGTTAGTGGGGAGGATGTGGAAGAGTTGGTGGAGGAGGACAATGAAGAACAAACCACGATGAGCTGCTAGATCCTCTTCAACAGTAAGAGGCCACACCTGAGGAAACTGCTTCGGAGGAGGGGAGAGAGAAATTGAAGAAGTTGCCTACTTCAAAGATTAAGGAAATGTGTGCAATGTTGCTTAAAGTGCAAACCTTTTTTGATGAAAATCACCCTCCACAGCTATTGCAAGCCGTGCTGGTGACATTACACTGACAATGTTGTGAAACACCTTTAGGATAAAGGAACGAGAGGTACAGCTCTATGGACAATATGTTGTGCGGACAGAAGTCCAGTGACCCTGAAGCGGGCCTAGTGGCATTAAAAAAACAAGGGAAGTAACCCCAGAAAAAGACTTGCTACCTCAAGTGCTAATGGAAGGGGATTCCCCTTCTAAACATTAACAAGATCAATGGTCTCCCCTCCTCCCATCCCATCAATCATCACCAGATCTTCAATAAAGGTAAGTGTCATGTAACTGTGCATGTCTTCTTCAGTTTGTGTGTTTTAAAATTAATATTTCATGTGGTAAAATTTTTTTTTTTCAATACTTTGGGGTGTCTTGCACGGATTAATTTGATTTCCATTATTTCTTATGGGGAAAATTAACTAGACTAACGATTACTTTGATTAACGATGAGCTCTCAGGAACGGATTAATATCGCTGGTTGAGGGTCCACTGTACTATTATTTCTATTGCATTTATAGTCTTAAGAGGTAATATATCATGACAATGAGCTACAATTACATATTCACTTTTATTTTTGTGAGATCAGTTGGTCTAAAAAAAAGTTGTTTGGCTTTTTGGGAGGCTCCCAGGAACGTAACCCTATTTTTCCCTCGAGTTCTTTAGTTCATCTAACACGATTTTACCTAACACAGCATTTTCAGGAATGTAACTACTGTGTTAAATGACGGTCTACTGTATTAACAGATGACTCGTCATGTAGTCAGAATGTGATCTTAGTTGTGTCCTGGGGCACTTTACACAAGTTGGTTATGAGGAAGATGGGATAGTGGTTAGTGGTGTTATCTGTGATTATGCCTGCTTTTAATAGGGATACAGTGTTTGTCCAGATATGGTATAGTAATGAGGCATTTGTGTCAGTGATTTTTGTAGGTTTTGTTATTGTTGGTAGAAGTAAGCAGCTGCTCATAGTTTTTGTGAATTCAGTCACCTGTGGGTCATGGTCATGGATGAGATTTATGTTGAAATCCCCTGTATTAGGTGGTGCTTGTTCATTTCAATGCTAGTTATTATATTTCTTAGTTTTTCACTAAAAGAGTAAATATTGGAGTGAGGAATTCTATAAATTGCTCCAACTGTTAGAGGTTTTGTAATGTTTTTAGATTTAAATTTAGCAAAGGTATATTCACCATGTTCATCCCTTGTGCAAGTAGAATTTATACACTCTAGTTCATCAGAATAGTATATAGCTGTTCCACCTCCTAACTGATCTGGTCTACAATTGTGTATGGCCGTGTAGCCAGGTATGGAATAGATATTTGTAACATCATGTTTTAGCCATGTTTCAGTGAGAGTAATGATAGACATACTGACATTTAGAGAATTTACTAGCGCTTGGAGATCATCACAGAGTTTGCTTAGTTATCTGATATTATAACTGTTATTGTTAGCACTGAGTAGTCTTAGCCTGACTAGCAGTGTAATAAAGGCAATTGTTGTTAGGATCATGTGTGTCATTTAATAAGAGCTTAATGTCAGGATCAATGTTTGCAATCATATGAGCAATGCAAGTTTAACAGTGTATAATGTTGACCTGGAGGTGATATGAGAGCTTATACAAGCAGTACAAAGTGTAGGTAGCAGAAGAACTATTCTACACATTGCACAGATACTAAACAGGTAATAATAATACAAAAAAAATATATAGTTAAAAGATAGTAAAAAAAAGGTCTTAAATAAAATTTAAATAGTAAGATTTGACTTAAAGCACAAAATTAGGCAAATAATAATACCATAAAAAATTGTATGATAAGTAATATAAAATACTGAACTATTAAGACTAGGAATATCAATTTGCACTAATGTTAGACAATAAACAAAAAAAGAGGTTTCAAAACAGTAGTATTTAACTTTGGATTGTATTTATATACTGCACACACGAGTAAAAAAATATGAGTTAAATAATGGAGGACTGCAAAACACTATTATGTAGCCGAACAATGGAAATAAGTCACATTGTCTGACCATTTTTTTACGTTATCCTTGGTAATTTACACATACTTTACACAAACGTATGATAATTTATGTAAGTGTATTTATGTGTACCTAAATAAACCTGGTGATACTGCCGGTACCATCATATCTGTTTTCCAGCCTAAAACACCAACATCTAACTACATATACAAAACACACTTAAACAAAAATAACTTAAAATACATTATACAGCGTACCAAGTGATCAACACCGCTGTTCATCTTCAATAATTGTTTAAAATAGGAGATCAACAGGTCAACTGGTCCACCTTCCCGCGTCTCCAGTGTTCCTTCACACCACGTAACTACACACCATTATAGTCCCTTTCATGCAAAATATATAGAAAAACTATATATGTCTGCGACAGTAGCAGTAAAAGTGGTTATTTTGACATCAACTTATTTAAGAGACAAGGGATTACATATCGTAAAAATGTTTAAATGAATTAAGGAAGACTCGCCAGGGGAAGCGAACACGGGTCACAGCTGACGGAGGTAAACATAAACAGTGACGGTCGTAGAGTGGTTATAAATGACCATAATTTTTAAAGGGGTGGACCGGTAAGCCAGCGGAAGGCCTCGGTCAGATGACCAAAAGCTCCAAAGGCGGGTCATCATCTGACTAAGACCCGCGTCAGGAAACATTTGTCCTGTTTCCTGACGAACCTTACCTAACCTAACCTAGTGACGGTCGCGGAGCGTTAAACCCGCAGGGGGTCACAGCTGAGGAGATGTAGGAGGTAACGCAAAAGTTTGATCCAGGGAACGGGAGGTCAAGATCTAGTTACTTAGCTCACCTACTACCCCCCGCCCCCCACACCAGCAGCAAGACACTGGAGAGGGAATGAACTCTCGACAGGTTTAGAGCTTCATCGTTAATAACGAATCTACTCCTACCTTACCTCCCAAAACATACTCAAGCCCTGCCAATTTGGATTCAGGCCTAATAAAAATACTAATGATGCTATTATACACATGCTAGAACATATATACACTGCAATAGAGAAAAAAGAAGTCCCACTGGGGATCTTCATTGACTTACGTAAAGCTTTTGATACAGTTGACCATGACTTGCTCCACGTAAAATTGTCACACTATGGTATAAGAGGGCACTCCCTCAACTACCTCAAGTCTTACCTCAGCAACAGAAGCCAATATGTGTATGCAAATGGGACAAACTCTTCTGCGCAACCAATTACAGTTGGTGTCCCACAGGGAAGTGTCCTTGGCCCTCTTCTCTTTCTCCTATACATAAATGACCTTCCAAATGCTTCGCAATTACTCAAACCCACACTATTTGCAGATGACACTACATACGTCTTCTCTCACCCGAGCCCAGTCACGCTAGCCAATACTGTAAATACCAAATTACAGAAAATATCTACCTGGATGAGAACTAACAAACTTACACTAAACATTGACAAAACCTACTTCATTCAGTTTGGTAACAGAGCTACAGATGTCCCTCTTAACATAATGATAAACGGATCACCTATCACAAAGCTAACAGAGGGAAAATTCTTAGGAATCCACCTTGATAATAGACTCAAATTTCATACACATATACAACAAATTTCTAAGAAAATTTCCAAGACTGTAGGCATACTATCGAAGATACGGTACTATGTTCCACAGTCAGCCCTCCTGGCCCTATATCACTCTCTTATTTACCCCTATCTCACCTATGGAATTTGTGCATGGGGCTCAACAACAATTAACCATCTCAGACCACTAATTACCCAACAAAAGGCTGCAGTTAGAATGATAACAAATTCTCACTACAGGCAGCACACTCCACCAATATTCAAAACACTCAACCTACTCACCATACAAAACATCCATACTTATTACTGCACCTATTACATACATAGAACACTTAACTCTGATATTAACCCTCCCCTCAAACATCTCCTTGTCAACCTCAACAGAACACATGACCATAACACAAGGCACAGATCACTCTTTGATGTTCCTCGTGTCCATCTCACGCTATGCAAAAACTCAATGCACATAAAAGGCCCTAAAATCTGGAATTCATTACCTGTAAATATAAAAGAAACACTACCTGTTTATAAATTCAAGTCTCTTCTCAAAGATCACATACTCACCCAAACCCAAATAAATACTGAATAACTGAACCTTATAAATTGTATATCTTAAATGTTTCTCACAATTATATCACATAAATGTTAAACCTAAAACCCAATCTAACTTTATTATTTTTTAAATACACTACCTAACAGAATACTCCATACGACTGAATGTACAACAATGCATGCAACCATATGACCTGTCTTTGTAATACTCATTTGTGCTTTATAGTTATCTGTTTACAATAATGTATTATCACTGATTTCATCATTGCTTAGTTAATTTTAAGCCAGCCCGTAATGCTATGCATAGTATAAGTGGCTTTGGCATGCTGCTCTTATCTGTATTTTTTTGTACCTCTGTATGTATGTTCAAATTGTTAATAAATAAATAAATAAATAAATAAATAAATAAATAACAACGGCAACACTTAACAAAATCATGGCACCAGGGGTAGGGAACACAACTTTCTGGTACCCACAGTCAGTGGTCAGGCTTCAAACACCTTTTATTGTAGAGCAACAAAGGAATGGAACAGACTGCCTGTACAGGTCAGTCAGTCATAACATCAACCAGTTCAAGAAGACAAAAACTGTCGAGTGAATGTAACGACGGAAAGGGAGGAGAATGATTTTTTTTTTTTAAGCTAACACATGTAACTATAAATAACTAATTTTACCTTACTCCTAGTATATCTCCTTTATAGTATAATAATAATAATAATAAGGTATTAAAAGGACTCCAATGGAAATAAGTCACCTTGAATTTTTTGGGTTATCCTAGGTTATGTACACATGCTGCTATGTAATAATAATAATAATAATAATAATAATAATAATAATAATAATAATAATAATAATTTTTTTTTATTATCACACTGGCCGATTCCCACCAAGGCAGGGTGGCCTGAAAAAGAAAAACTTTCACCATCATTCACTCCATCACTGTCTTGCCAGAAGGGTGCTTTACACTACAGTTTTTAAACTGCAACATTAACACCCCTCCTTCAGAGTGCAGGCACTGTACTTCCCATCTCCAGGACTCAAGTCCGGCCTCCCGGTTTCCCTGAACCCCTTCATAAATGTTACTTTGCTCACACTCCAACAGCACGTCAAGTATTAAAAACCATTTGTCTCCATTCACTCCTATCAAACACGCTCACGCATGCCTGCTGGAAGTCCAAGCCCCTCGCACACAAAACCTCCTTTACCCCCTCCCTCCAACCTTTCCTTGGCCGACCCCTACCCCGCCTTCCTTCCACTACAGACTTATACACTCTTGAAGTTATTCTGTTTTGCTCCATTCTCTCCACATGTCCGAACCACCTCAACAACCCTTCCTTAACCCTCTGGACAACAGTTTTGGTAATCCTGCACCTCCTCCTAACTTCCAAACTACGAATTCTCTGCATTATATTCACACCACACATTGCTCTCAGACATGACATCTCCACTGCCTCCAGCCTTCTCCTCGCTGCAACATTCATCACCCATGCTTCACACCCATATAAGAGCGTTGGTAAAACTATACTCTCATACATTCCCCTCTTTGCCTCCAAGGACAAAGTTCTTTGTCTCCACAGACTCCTAAGTGCACCACTCACCCTTTTCCCCTCATCAATTCTATGATTCACCTCATCTTTCATAGACCCATCCGCTGACACGTCCGCTCCCAAATATCTGAATACATTCACCTCCTCCATACTCTCTCCCTCCAATCTGATATCCAATCTTTCATCACCTAATCTTTTTGTTATCCTCATAACCTTACTCTTTCCTGTATTCACTTTCAATTTTCTTCTTTTGCACACCTACCAAATTCATCCACCAATCTCTGCAACTTCTCTTCAGAATCTCCCAAGAGCACAGTGTCATCAGCAAAGAGCAACTGTGACAACTCCCACTTTATGTGTGATTCTTTATCTTTTAACTCCACGCCTCTTGCCTAGACCCTCGCATTTACTTCTCTTACAACCCCATCTATAAATATATTAAACAACCACGGTGACATCACACATCCTTGTCTAAGGCCTACTTTTACTGGGAAATAATTTCCCTCTTTCCTACATACTCTAGCTTGAGCCTCACTATCCTCGTAAAAACTCTTCACTGCTTTCAGTAACCTACCTCCTACACCATACACCTGCAACATCTGCCACATTGCCCCCTATCCACCCTGTCATACGCCTTTTCCAAATCCATAAATGCCACAAAGACCTCTTTAGCCTTATCTAAATACTGTTCACTTATATGTTTCACTGTAAACACCTGGTCCACACACCCCCTACCTTTCCTAAAGCCTCCTTGTTCATCTGCTATCCTATTTTCCGTCTTACTCTTAATTCTTTCAATAATAACTCTACCATACACTTTGCCAGGTATACTCAACAGACTTATGCCCCTATAATTTTTGCACTCTCTTTTGTCCCCTTTGCCTTTATACAAAGGAACTATGCATGCTCTCTGCCAATCCCTAGGTACCTTACCCTCTTCCATACATTTATTAAATAATTGCACCAACCACTCGAAAACTATATCCCCACCTGCTTTTAACATTTCTATCTTTATCCCATCAATCCCGGCTGCCTTACCCCCTTTCATTTTACCTACTGCCTCACGAACTTCCCCCACACTCACAACTGGCTCTTCCTCACTCCTGCAAGATGTTAGTCCTCCTTGCCCTATACACGAAATTACAGCTTCCCTATCTTCATCAACATTTAACAATTCCTCAAAATATTCCCTCCATCTTCCCAATACCTCTAACTCTCCATTTAATAACTCTCCTCTCCTATTTTTAACTGACAAATCCATTTGTTCTCTAGGCTTTCTTAACTTGTTAATCTCACTCCAAAACTTTTTCTTATTTTCAACAAAATTTGTTGATAACATCTCACCCACTCTCTCATTTGCTCTCTTTTTACATTGTTTCACCACTCTCTTAACCTCTCTCTTTTTCTCCATATACTCTTCCCTCCTTTCATCACTTCTACTTTGTAAAAACTTCTCATATGCTAACTTTTTCTCCCTTACTACTCTCTTCACATCATCATTTCACCAATCGCTCCTTTCCCTCCCGCACCCACTTTCCTGTAACCACAAACTTCTGCTGAACACTCTAACACTACATTTTTAAACCTACCCCATACCTCTTCGACCCCATTGCCTATGCTCTCATTAGCCCATCTATCCTCCAATAGCTGTTTATATC